TTTTTTTTTTTTTTTTTTTACTGTTCTTTTTTCATGGTTCGATCTCTCGTTCATTCGGTGATCCCGTTAAAAGTTCCGCATTGCATTTGCTTTACAATCTGCGACTCTCTTTACGACTTGACGGAAAATAAATAAATGCTCGGGAGCGTTCCTCGAATTATCGTGGATTGTATATTTTGTGGCTCTCGTTTGTGCGCTCTCGAGAGTCAAAGACTGCAACCGTGTTGAATACAATCAGTAATGGTAATTGTAAAAACCACCAGTAACTGGACATCTCTCGCGACTTTAAAAAACTTTCCAAGTTTATATCTTTCCGTTTAGCCGCGCGACACGCTTTTCTTATATTTTTGCACAATTCTTTTTAATTTTACGACAAACAAGTTTTACAGGTTTTACTCGTTTATATTTCGCGCTTCTTTTTTTATTTAATATTATATTTATATTGTCGATATTTTTTTCTACATTACTCGTCTCGTTCGTTTTGGTTTTTTTTTTTTTTTTTAAATTTTTGTCTAATTATTCAAAAGAAACTCGTTTATTTGTGTGCATTGTTGAAAAAAACGTCGAGAGCTGCGTAATATGAACGGCGAAGCGAATGAAACAAGAAGGCTTATGCTCATCACGGAGGACGTTGATTGCTATTGGGTTAATTACCGGACTTAATCGACCAACGTAATTGGTTCTGCATTATATATTGTATCGCATCGCTCGCGCGCGCGCGCGCGCGCTACAAGACACACTCTTTCAAAAGTCTTCGATCTTCTGGCTCCGTCGCGATTCGTCCCGGCAGTTTACGGCGCGCGATCCGTCGCGACGGTTGAAAAACTCGCGCGGGCGATTTGCGACGCCGCTGCAGCTTGCCGTCACCGCGACTCAAACGAGAAATAGAAAAAAAAAAAAAAAAAAGATCGAACAAGAGAAAAAAAATGAAAAACAAGCAAGCCGCGCTTGCTGACGGCGCTGTATTTTGTCGCGGCGCCAAAGCACCGTTCCACCTGGTGTAGATGATAAAGGAAAAGCCACAAATCTAATCTCGTAGGTAGAATTTTACTGCCGCGCGTATACACACCGTACAATTACAGTTCGTTGAACTGAGAAAAAGAGAGAGAAAGAGAGAAAATGAGAAAGAGAGAGAGAGAGCAAAGGGCGCGCGAGAAAGGAAAAGGGGTAGGTCGGGGATTTCCGTCGGTCTATTTAGCATCGCAGATAAACACCGTTTCGAACAATGCGTCTCTCCGATTATCTAGATGAGATTTCGCGATATAAAACGGGTAATGGCTGATTAATGTTAATGACCAACACACGTTGGCGCGCGTGTCCCTTCCGAGATGGCTCGGAAAAAAGGAGATTCTATTTCGAATATTATCCTGTGGGAAAGAAACGTGAGAAATTGCAGATCGCACAATTGTATATATCGTGTGTCAAAGCGTGAAACCCGTATAATACAGAACGTAGGCGTAGAACATATTACTTTGAAAAGATAACATTTGCGAGATAATCGAAAGACGAGAGACGCGAACGAATTAATTAATTCGTAAAATAAATTTTTAAATCTCCTCTTCCCGTAGCAGTCGATAATATCAAAGATGCGTATTCTATGAAAGTTTAGTGAAATTAACTGATAGATAATGAAGAGAAATCACTTGTAACTGAAGAGCACCTCCGCGTCGTACCGAAATACAAGTGGACAGGTTTACGATGGACTTGAGAAAATTGACAGTGTGATGTGTGACATGTTATCGCACACTCGCTCTGGTGAATGTAGACTCTCTTCGGAAGGTGACGTAGTTTTACTAAGTAAGTGGTTTCTCTTTGAAAGATAAAGAGAGCAAGAGAGAGAGAGAGAGAGAGAAAGAGGAAGAGAAAAAAAACTTACTTCTTTATTTAAACTGTTTTAGTATATTTGACAACTTTCCGATGGAAAATAAATAATTACAACAAAAGTATTTATATATAT